CCATCCATCCATCCATCCAACCTTCCTCTTAGCCTTTTTGGGGGGGATAGCAGCATCAAGACCTCCCCCTCCCCAGCCACTTGGGCCAGCTTCTCCAGGGGAACCACAAGGTGCTCCCAGCACGAGAGAAACTTAGTCCCTCCAGCATGCCCTGGGTCTCCTCCCAGTTGGACGTGCCTGGAACACCTCACCAGGGAGGCATCCAGGAGGCATCCTAACCAGATGCCTGAGCCACCTCAGCTGGCTCCTCTCGACGTGGAGAAGCAGCGGCTCTACTCTGAGTCCCCCCCAGATGATTGAGCACCTTAAGGGAGAGCCCAGACACATTATGGAGAAAACTAATTTCAACCGCTTGTGTTCTTTCATGACCCAAAGCTCATGACCATAGCTGAGGTTAGGAACTTAGATTTACTGGTAAATTGAGAGCTTTGCCTTTTGGCTCAGCTCTCTCTTTACCACAATGGACCGGTACAGCGGCAGCTTCACAGCAGACGCCGGACCGATCAACCTGTCGACCACCCAGAATCTGTGACAAAGGGCAACCTTGGCGGTGTCCAACTCTCACTGGAAATGAGGCCGACTGCCAGAAATGCAGACCAGGCTCTGAGACCGGTAATACAGAGTCCTAACAGCCCTTATTAAAGGGCCCAGTACTCCGTACTCCCCACAGGAACCCCCAAGCGACATGGTTGAATGCCTTCTCCAGATCCACAAAACTAAAACTTAAAAAATAAAAAAGCAAATAGATTTGATCAACTTTAGACACCTGCTTAACTTTAAATTAAAAAGTTAATCTTTTATTCTAATGAATAATCCAGTTATTGTGGGGAAGGCATGCGTAGATTACTTTGATCCTAAATATAAAGAGTTCTACACATTTGCCTGATTAAAATATTTTTTGGCCTAGAAAATGATTTTTTCTTTCCATTTTTAGGATCAAGATTTTGTCTCAGTATGTCTCTGATAATGCTTCCTTCATGTAGCCAAGCTTCATCCACCCATCCATCCATCCATTTTCAGACACGCTTAATCCCAAGTGGGGTCGAGAGGGGTGCTGGTGCCTATCTTCAGCCGGCAAGAGGTGGGGTACACCCTGGACAGGTCGCTAGTCCTTCGCAGGGCAACACAGAGACAAACAGGACAAACAATCATTCACACACACACTCACACCAAAGTAGACTTTAGAGAAGCTAATTAACCTAACAGTCATGTTTTTGGACTGCGGGAGGAACCCGGAGTACCTGGAGAGAACCCACGCATGCTCAGGGAGAACATGCAAACTCCATGCAGAAAGACCCTGGGCCGGGAATGTAGCTAGGCTTATTAAATTAATTAAAAGCATATCAGGGCACTCCCAGGTCTGGTGCTGAGTATAGGTTGCTGGATGTGTATGCTCATTTTTGACTAAAATTAGATAGAAAGGAAAATAACTTATTAATTTGTTTGTAAAAGTGTCTAAAGATAAGTCTTTATGTGCATAAAGCATTGTTGCTGTTCTGCTGTCAGGGGCCATACAGAATCACTCTTAAGAATGCAAAATTGCCCAGGGATGCTTTTCAGACACCCTTTTATTAGACATTCCTATTTACAACTAAAGCCAGATGTAACCATTCTGTTTTTAGCTTTTTGGTGGGAAGTTGTTGCAAGCAGCTGTTAGATCCTATCATCTTGGAGGCATGAAGCTGAATGAGAACATTCCCATAAATATTAATAGAAGCACTACAGAGTCCCTAAAGCAGTTATTTTAAGTTGTTTACCTTTGTATAAACAGACTACACAAACAGTTTCAGGGTAAAGAAATTAGAGGGAACAAGGCCAATCTTTTTTATGTATTTTTTATTAACTGTTATATGGCATTTAAAAGACAAACATTACACTTTACACATGTTCTGTCCATCAGAGCTCCATGATACCAGTTAAGAAGAATGGTAGTTTAAATAGGAAAGAAACTACAAAAAAACAAAAAAAAAACAATCAAAATCCTAGCGACTGAAAAAAAAGGGCCAAACTAGCATGGAGCCTTCCTGTGATCAGTGTGCACAGCTGGGTTTGGGTCAACCAGCAGGTTAACATTTGTTATTGGGGGTGCACCTAAACTGCTGACACACTCTTTGAGTCATAGGTGTTGTTTGGACAGCCCGCTTGCTCTCTGACACCCAGATTCGTGCGATTTGAGGGATTGTCCCTGGAGTGGAAAAAAACATGGTGACAGCCAGATACATGACTGCTGCTTCCTGTTTGGCTTACTGCTGCAGATATTAATTACTCGAGTGAAAATGCTTCCCCTGCTCATCAGTATTATATCTACAATATCACTTATTGTAATGGAGGCTTTCGGAGGATTTTGCCAGTCATGGGTTAATCATCCATCATAGATGCCTGATATTGTGAAAGCTGAGGTTAATCTCATGTCAGTCTGATATCATCTGTATATGATAATACTTTATTACAAAACGCTTACTAAAGATTTTTTTTCTAATTCTATTGATGATATTAAAGAGAACAAAGGCTGACAGACAAAAAATTATGTTTTGCAGCCAGGATGTTTTTAAACACAAGCTGTTTGACAACCAGAAGTTGGCTAAAAATATGAGAAAAGAAACTGAGTATTTTATCTATAAATTGCTATAAGAAAAACAAAATAGTTATTAGAAACCTTTTTTTTTTTTAGGTGCCGGGGAATCCGGGAAAAGCACTATTGTCAAGCAGATGAAGTAAGTCCAAATATTTATTACAATTGTTTATTTTTTGGCATCTTTTCTTTTAGTTTTAAGATGAAAGATCATTCCATTTCATTCCCTCTTTTAGATGCTACAATGTTTAGCTCATCTGTCTGTAAAAATTGTAGAAGCACAGTTAAAACTTTGCTCAGGCGAAGGAGAAAGCTCCATTTTTGCCTAGTGTTTTAAACAAAGGGCTCAGAGACTGGTTGCTTCCTGGCAGGGCCTGAATAGAGTCTGCCGTTTCCCACGTTAAGCATGCCGTTTGGTCACAGAAGAAGACCACTGCTAATGACAGTGATGCATGAGATCTTGCAAATGTGTGATTAGAAATATGCTTGTTAAAACCTCTGTTTTTACTGATGGATATCTATATGGAATGTGACAGCCTGGTTTTATTTATGCATCAGAATCATCCATGAAGATGGCTACTCAGAGGAAGAGTGCAAGCAATACAAAGTGGTGGTGTACAGCAACACGATCCAGTCCATAATGGCCATCATCAGGGCAATGGGGCTACTAAAGATAGATTTCGGAGATCCTGTCCGAGCGGTGAGTCAACAACTTCTGCTCAATCGTGGTTTAAATCACAACAGAAAGTATTTTGCAATGCAGGTTACTGAACTTTTTTTCCAGGATGATGCACGGCAGCTGTTCACCCTGGCGAGCACAGCGGAGGAAGGAGTGATGTCTCCGGAGCTGACCGGTGTGATCCGCAAGCTTTGGAACGATAGTGGCGTGCAAGCTTGCTTTGATCGTTCTCGAGAGTATCAGCTAAATGACTCGGCGGCATAGTGAGGATCTCACACTAAGCAATACACATTAATTATCACCGTCAGAATTTTGGGATAAGCTGAGGTCTAATCACGGCTCAGTTGCTGGTTTTCTGTCCAGAGAAGAAAGAAATATTCTATTCCTCACATCTCTTAAGTTTTTTTTCTGGCTTACTTTTTCATTGCCATTTCATCTGTTAAATTATTGTGATGTCACAACCACAAACTTTGTTTCATTTTCATTGTATGTGATATACAAAACACAAAGAAGTGTGTTTTACAAATAAATATTAAAAAATGAGTGTATTTCACAACCTTATCTTTAGCAGGAAACAGTTTGAGATTGCAAAAGACCTCAGCACAGACTCAACACGGGTACAACACAGCATATTGCAGGAGGAATGCATGTTACAGTTTTTAGGTAACTTTCCAAAATGTATTCAGCACCATTCAGTTATAAATCTGAAAGCTGAAAGGGTGTAGCTTAACTGTTAACCCACTAGAATATGGATTTTCATTCAAACTGACAGATCAGGCAATGGCAATATCCAGAGCTCCACAGCTCAGATTGGAGAACAATATAACTATTAGCTAGTTGCTCCAAATCTGGCTGCATGAACAAGGCTATTGTTAAAGAAAAAGTTTAAATTACCCTTTGCACTGAACCGTACTGGGGAGACAGCATACACACAGAAGACGGTGCTGTTATTAGATAATTATTATTTTTTTTTGCCTCCATGCAAAAATACGTTGTTTGAATGAACTCTGTCTATCAACAATAAACATACAGCTAGTGGTATAATGGAACGGTTTTGATCATTTGCATTAGAATGGGTGAGGCAAAGTCCACACATAAATCCAGTTGACTGGTGGTAAGACATACAGTATGATTGAACTTTATTTATTTTCCAAAAAGAAATGGCAAAAATGTTAGTCTTTTGAGGTGATTAGCTGGTAGAGAGATGCCCCAGATGACTTTTACTATAACTCTAATTTCAACTATTCGTATTGACTTGGATCCATGGTGGGGATGATGGTAGGGGAGGTGCTGTTACAAATCCACAGCATGTTATTGAGACCTTTATTTATTAATCAAATGATAGTAATAAAAACTAAAAACCATGAGATAGATTATGCACCACCTTAAGCTGGTGTGTCACATAAAATCGTAGTAAAATACTTTTAAGTTTGCGGTTTTGTAACTTAGCAAAATGGGATATGAAGACTTTTGAAAGGCATTATTATTTTCTATGCTGGTCTTAGTTTGTTTTTTTATAGTCCACCACTAACTGAAACAGTCTAAGTGAAAAAGCAAACAAAGAGCTAAATTTAGAGCCTCTCTTATATTACTAATCAAACACACATGCAGCTCATGCTGTCTGTTTCCTTCATATAACACCCATCTGAGCGAAAATCTCACTCGCTGTGAAGGACGTTTTCTTTGTTATGCAAACACCTGAGTTGTCATGACTCTCTTTGCACTGTGTGCAAACTGTTTGACAAGAGGAACTAGTGGAGTTAGTCTGTTTTTACTCAACCCACAAGAAGCCAGTGTTTATCATCCATGCAAATACGAGCCCATATTTAGTATTGTTCTTAGGCGTCCTTAGATGTTTTGCTTTACATGACTAAGCTTTAGTATCTGGGAGATTTTTCCTGCCCAACAGTAAATATATGAGTAAGAAGCAACTTGGGAATTTTATTAAAAGGCATAATGGTAAAAGATGATAAAAGCAAACACAATAACAGGAAAAAAAATCTTTGGGTTCCATACTAATATAACATTTGATCTTAGATCATGTCTGTTGTCTCCCTCAGCTATTTGAATGCCTTGGATAGGATCTGCAAACCCAACTACATCCCGACTCAGCAGGATGTGTTGCGCACCCGCGTAAAGACCACTGGGATCGTGGAAACTCACTTCACCTTCAAAGATCTATACTTCAAGTTAGTACTGCTCAATTATAGCTGGTTTCTTTTTTCTTTTCTTTTTTTCTTTGTGGCTATTAAAACAATCTCTTTGTTCCGTTAATTTGTCAAATACATTTTGTTTTGATAATGTCTCTCAACTTGAAATACAAGCATGAAGGCATTTTCTATTTGTTTTAGTTGGTTTTGCTTGGCAAATTTACTGTACTCCAAATACTGTATCTGAAGTTTTTTACATGACAACAACAAATGTTAATGTTTTATGTGCTGGATTTTACACAAAGTAGCAGCGGTCCTCTGGTTACATCTCTTCAGTTGTTGCGCATCTAATAGATATAATTTAGTATTTGCAAAAATAACATTGTTTCGGTCAGATTGTACAGAAACTATCCTTGAACATCCGTTGTGAACACAAGCCATGGATTATTGATTTAATTTAGGTCTGGGCTTTGACTAGGCCATTCTAATATGAATCTACTTTGACCTAAATCATTGACTCGTGGCTCTGGTTCCCAACTTTTTTTTGCTTGAAAGTGAAGGCCTCTGACAATTGAGCCTTTTTGAGTTCTTTGCAGTTTTTTTTCTTTTTTGATTGTTTAGTGTTAAACGTCCACCATATTCATATCACCTCTTACCAACCTTTTTGGATCTGCAGAAAAAAAAGTATTGCCACAGCATGATACTGCCACCACCATGTTTCACTATGGGCGTGTCTTTGATGATGTGTAGTGTAGCCATGGAGAGTTTGCCATTTTGGCCACAAAGTTAATATTTGGTCTATTGACCAGGAACCTCATGCAAATAGGGTGTTTGCACACAAAAAGCATGCATGGTTAATGCAAAACTCGGGATGTAAAAAATTTCAAAGTCGAGTGAAAGGATGCGGCAATCCACCTAATCTTTTTAACCTGGTGTGACAATTTATAGCAGCCGTACAAACTTTTTAAATCCAAAATAAGAATCTTAAAAGCAGTAAAACACCCAATAAAGGAATGTGGCTCTTTTTAATTGATTTAAGCTGAGGGAGTATTGAACCGGATGTTTTTTTCAAGACTTTGAGCTTTAATGATTTACTCTGAATGATGAAACTGAATCACATTTATCCTCATTTAACATCTCAATACACCTAAACACAAACAGCCTCAGCCAGATGTAAACTGTAAATATTCCTCTGTTTAGGTCATGGATATGTGCATTGTTGTTGTTGCGAGAACAGGACAGAAAAAAATTGGAGCATCAGCATATTGACTCCAAGTAAGTTAGATGTGATTATTAATCAGAAGGACAAGGTGCAATAAATCCCATGTCCATAAATAGCTGAGTAAAGGTGGACATAACTGTGCAATGATGGCAGCCTGAGTGATTGAGGAAATCGTCAGTGAAACAATGTGGAGAGTGTGGGTGTTCAGAGATCCTACTGACCTGCTGGTGAATGAGGATGATGGGTGGCATATTCAAGGTTTGGATTGTTTAGTGCCAAAAAGGAACCTTGCATGCCCATGCCAGATCAAGATCCAAATACATCTCTGTGCAGCAGGAGTATTTTAGAAGCTATTGATGGACAGATTGGGAATATAACCGTTTCCCTTAGGTTTCCCCATTGCAGCCAAATCACAATTTAAATCGAGGGGGTGGTTTTCACATGGAATATGAGGTATAACTGTTGTTACACTGCTGTAAGATGCAGTTTGTTAAAGTGTCACATTTACTCTTAGAAATAAAAAGTTTTTCATTATAACGCTGTACTTGTAGTTGTATTGTGTGAGCTTGCCTCTAGGTATTTTTATGTTTATTTATTAATTATGCACAGTTCTTTAAACATCAAATGTAGTCTACTATATATGTTTGCGTGGTGACAAGGTTTAATAGAAACATGGGGTCATATTCACATATTAATGATTTTTAAAACATTGATCGGCATGAAGCAGCAATTAAAGCTCAATGCATCAGTGAGACAGAACTTTTTCAACTTCATACAGATTTTAAAGAACTAAACAGTAAGAAGCTGACATACTTTTTAAGATCAGTGTATTTAGTGAGCTGCTAATGTCGTTTAATTAAAGGTATTATGGAGGATCTTGGCGAATTTTTGAAAAGACCCACCCTCTCCACTTTAAAAAAAAATGTAGATTCACGACCCTGTACCCTCTCCCCAGAGGGAACGCCTATGAAACACGTGTAAGAGCATGAACAAGCCCATTTCTCCTTGTGCCGCTCTGTTTAAATGTTGCTGTTTGCCTCGCTCATACAAGTTACTTTCCAAAAGTTTTGCAATTTTTCCACCATCAGAATCACCTCAGGTAAGTGAACATTCGGACAAGCACATAGGACTGCCTTACGTATACATATCACCAGACTGACTGACAGGAGAACCACTTATTTTAATGATCCACCCCGAAAAAGAAAATTCTCCAGTATACCTTTAATTGTTGGTACACTGTAACAATAGTGCCTTAACACAGTATCGTTATTTGGGTTAGTGGTAGGAGCCTCCCAGGTATTTATAATAATTTCTATGTGTTAAGGTCCAGGAGTGGGGTGGGCAATAAAACACATTATCCATGGATCAGTTCCATGCAAATTGTGATGTGATGTATGAAGGAAAAGTGTACATTAAGACATTTATGCATAATATTATACATTCTACTTTGTCTGGGTACTGAAAGTTTGGAATCTCTTGTTAAAGCTATCTTTACTTATAAAAGCTATCTTTAGTCAATAAAGCTGTGCACTCTTTTATGCATGAGGCCTCTGAACGGCTTCTTCCAGGGGTTGGGCACCCCAACTTGTTCAAGGGGCCTTTTTGGCCCAAAAAAAACAAAAAATAAATCCGTCTGGAGCCGCAAAAATATAAAAGTCTTATATAAGCCTTGTTTGGCAACACGGGCTCTAAGTGTATTATCCCACTATAGAAAAGGACTATCTGGGCTGGAATATAGAATAAGCATTCATGATTAAATGTTTATCCAGGAGCAAATGTCACATAGTAGCCTGAGGTGTGGGACGAGCAGTGAACGCTTTCACTGCGAGGAATTCACTGTGTGCCGCATCACCGCCCTTAACTGCCCGGTTTAAGTATTGCTGCATTGATAAAATTATAGAAACACAATAAAGGCATCTTTCTATGGTGGACATGTTTCTGTTGGGAGGAGTTGATTGAGTCATGAGGAACCAAGCAGGAACTGACATCCATCAGAGCAGTGCTCTCTAACCTTAAATCCAATATCCTCTGTCACCAGCGTTCCTTGGTGTGATTTATATTTTTAGGATTTGGGGAGAAAATGGAAGAGAGTTCACACGACTGTATCAGAGTGCTATATATTTGATCTGTGGACGCTTTTCCATCCTTGCAACAAAACTGGCAGCAATAGTGGAGGTTGGAGATGTAATCCACTTCTTAAATCTATCTTTAAGCTCCTCTAATTTATCTGGAAGTTCTGCAATCGCACTTTTTCTCTCACTCCTAACTTTGTGATTGGCTGCATATTTAGCTTTCCTTCCCTGGAAATGCCTTTCCAAATTTTTTGACAACCTCTCATTACAAAGCGAAAATGCAGGTAATCCTTCCGCATTGATTATCAAAGCAAATGATTCACTCTATTGTTTGAATCCTCTTTTCTCATCAGCTAGTTGTAACCACTGATCTCTATGGCTATGACGCAAATTATTGTTTACATTTATTTATTATACAAATGTTTACAGCATTGGAAAACATAATAAATTTTTGTTTGACCTCCTGCACACCAAATTAAAACACACACACACACAAAAAAATGGATTTTCATAAATTTTTGAAAAAGCTCCAGGGAGCCCCAAGGGGGACGCTAAAGAGCCGCATGCGGCTCCGGGGCCGCGGGTTGCCGTCCCCCGGCTTATTCCATAAATGTCCTGTTTCTCCTACATGATTTGTTGTAAACTGTAAATGTGATTTTCTTTGGCTATAAAAAAACTGTCTATAAAGCCTAGATGTGGGAAAGGCATTACTAATACTTATGCTTACAAGTTTTCCAATGTACACTTTGCAGCTCTAGAGTTAACATTGGCCTCATGGCTTGTTATTTGATTAATGCTCTCCTTGCACAGCCTTTAGGTTTAAGTAGACAACCCTGCGCTGGTATATTTCTTTTGTACTTTACTTTATTAATACATTTTTTTAAATAATGGATTAAACTATGTTTAGGTGACTTATGTCATGTAGAAGTGTTATAGAAAAAAGTTGAATAATAGACATAAAAACCAAAATATTCTCCTTCTCAATCAGGTTTTATGTGGACCAAATTTTTAAATCAATGTATTGTTTTACATCCATTTCACAAACACGCACTACTTTGTGCTACTCTGTGTAATAAAAATAAAACACATGAAAGCCTCTGGTTCCTAAATTAAAGAGATGGGAGATTTAGATGGTAGAAAATATCTTTGTGAGGCACTTAATGTTCTTTTTATTACTTGGAAAATATTCTGTTGTCATTAATTAATTTTTTGGCAGTAAAGCTCTCAACTACGTTGCTTTGAGACACTAAACATACAAATCAGGGCTTTTGTTTTAATAAATGCTGATGGATTTGGTTTAATACTGTATGAGCAATCGCAGTAATTAAATTTTTTTCACTCACTCCTACATTATTTCATTTCTCCTCCAGCTTCTGTACTTTGAAATATTGGTAAAGCATCAACTATAAAAGCATTGGTGCTGAGAACCTTGAAGTGTGTAATCATCAAATTGGTGTCACAGGACATGGTGTTCTTTCATTTCATTTCTGTGTCAGCTTAGTATGGATTTGGATTGCCACAGGGTGCTTCAGGTGGAGCCGCTTGCGGGGCACATGCAGACAGGAGATTACTAAAGTCAGGTCGCCAGCATGCCATCAGTGTTCATGTTATATGTGCCTGAGCCCCGGATTAGGAAACCTTGTAAATCACTGGAATTAAAATGACAATAAAGGTGTTCTGAGTAAACTTATTTATGCATTTAGTCTGTGTGTTTTCTGTGTGTCTGCAGAATGTTTGACGTCGGTGGTCAACGCTCAGAGAGAAAGAAGTGGATCCACTGTTTTGAAGGAGTCACAGCCATCATTTTCTGTGTAGCGCTCAGTGACTACGACCTTGTCTTAGCTGAGGATGAGGAAATGGTAAGTGATGGATGCACTGTTGTCAGCGTGGCCATGAGTTCATGATTCATAACCACAAGATCGATATTCTGCGACCGTAATTTCAAAAAGATGTGCAGGTATGGAAAATAAAACTGGGCCGCATCCTAAACAAGCTGGCTAAGACTTGAAATCAATCAAACTCACGTAAAATACTGGCAACTTGCTATAACACAAGATGCTTAAATCTGGTTTTCAGTTTTTACTATTTAGATGAAGTTTATGATTTATCTAGATCAAACTCCACCTTAACACAAACATGCAAACACAAACTGTTTTTTTGCATTCTATCCACAAAATCCAATGCATTTACTGTGGGTGTACTCCTGAGTATAGCTGCTTGTTTTTTGTTTCTTCTTATGTCATATTTGTCATTCAGTGGGGTTGGTTTTATTTTGCACTGCTGCAGAAAAAACGGTACTCCTAAAACTCCGAAAACTCCAAAACAATCAAATTTGGAACTATGTTGAGAAAAAAAAAATAGGCAACACTGACAGCCTTTTATTTTCAAGAACCAAATGCATAACATGTGGAGACATGCAAAACATTATCCCCCACACTTTCAGGTAGGACCAGTAAACAGACAATTTCACAGTGGGTCCAATTGAAACTACTGTAAGGCGAGTTAGTCCTATTTCATGATTAAAATCTTCAACTAAGACACAACAACCAGTGCTGGGCATTGATTCAAGTTTACTGCAAGTGTGAAGGATGCTGCTTAGAGAGGCAGATATCTTCCAATGCTGACTTTTTGATTGGCATATTTTTGATCACTGGGTCTGTATTAAAAAAAAAAAAACTTTTCGAAGTAAATTTACTGTACAGTAACTTTGTGTTTCATTGTGTTGGGTGATCTTAGGGGAAACAATCCTTAATGAATTTCTGCTTTTTAATTTTTCATACCTAATAACCTGTTGAGGCCAAACATCCCTGATTTTGGCTTGGAGGGCCATCTCATGTTGCAGAGTGTAGCTCATATTTATCATGCTGTTAGCTGTATGTTATTATGATGAAGGTAAGACAGGATTTCTTGGTTGCTGACCCACTTTCTTTAGAACAGGCAGTTAGCAGAAATTTAAATGGAGTGACTACAACTCTTAAAATGTTTTTTACAAGCAAGCCCTACTTTGTTTTCTTACAGGCATTCTTACACCTTGCTTCTTATGAACAGTATGAGCTCATAGTGTCTTATAACACTGAAGTTCTTTCAAGCTGTAAAAAGAAACAGCAGAGTTCATTCTGTAACATAAGAAAACCATCTGTAAGGAAAGATTGTTTGAAGCAAATTTAATTCAGCTGTTCTCCACAGAACCGCATGCATGAAAGCATGAAGCTGTTCGACTCCATCTGCAACAATAAATGGTTCATTCTCACCTCCATCATCCTCTTCCTTAACAAGAAAGACTTGTTTGAAGACAAGATCACCAGGAGCCCGCTTACTATCTGCTACCCTGAGTACACTGGTGAGACAAATCTGTACCTTCACAATCTATTAAAGACTTTTCCATATGTGCCCAGACTTCTTTTGATGATTCTTCTTTATTAGGTGCATCTGATTTAGAAAAAAATAAATACATAGTACTATTTTGGTAAAAACAAATACCTGCTACTACCTGCTAACTGTGGGATTTGTTGTTTTCTGATTTTTCAATATTAGGTTATCATTTATTATAGCAATGAGTGATTAACACATTGCTGTTCATAATTGAGATCTTCTCATCATAATAAGATATAAGAACTGGACTTGAAGCAATTGTTTTTACTGCTTGGATGCAATATACAACAAACAATAACCACAAACATTCTCAGACCACATGGGACAGTGTTTACTATATATAGATAATATATCAAACTTTGGAATAAGTAAACAAAAGTTCAGTGAGAGAACATTCTAGGATTTCCTTAAAATTATTTCATAAATTGTGCAATGTCTCCAATGATTACAAGGAAAGTTCAAGGAAGACATGTAGATTCATTCGGAAACATTCATTTAAGGGGAAAATGGCCTTTAAGATGTGTGAAATGAACCGTTAAGTTTGAAGAAAACAGCCTTTAAGTTCTTGAGTAGTATTTTCATAAGTTTCCCGGCAATTAACCTCAATGTTCAGAACAAATTAATTTAAAGATTCATTGAGGTACCCTTTAAAATGTTGAAGTTACACTTTAAGCTGGGGAAACATTGAATTTACTTTTTCTAACCTAAAGTTAGAGAAAAAAACCTCCACATTTCTGAGAAATGTGACCTCCGGCTTTGGGAAGACTCATTGAAAGTGGAGAAGTAACCTTTATGTTATATGGAAGTAACCTATTACTTTGGAAAAATAACACTTCTATTCAGGAAGAGTAACTTCTAGGTTTAAAGATAGTGACTAAAAAAGATTAAAAAAGATATTCTAAGATAAAAAAGTAACCTCTACATTCAAGGAAAATAGGATCCAATTTAAAGGAAAGCATAGCAAACAAATAACCATTTTAAATTGTTCATTTCAGGTCCAAACTCTTATGATGATGCATCGGCTTACATCCAGTTACGGTTTGAAGACCTAAACAAACGAAAGGACACAAAGGAGATTTACACCCACTTCACATGTGCCACAGACACCAAGAATGTGCAGTTTGTGTTTGATGCTGTCACTGACGTCATCATCAAGATCAACCTGAGAGAGATTGGACTCTACTAACGTTCCTGCTACCATCCAGGTCAGCTTACTGACTTCTGCCTGCATTCCTATTACTGGTTTCTTTCGTCGTCCAAATAGAAAGAATAAGCCTGAAGCAGAGATTAAGGGTTCAAGCATGGTTAAGGGTTTGGAAGCTTCTAGAGTTTGCAAAGAAAACCAGCATGGAAATTGGTCCCCAATGTCCAAAATGAATGTCTTATGGCACAAAACAGTGAATGAAACATCAGACCTGGAGCATAGCTGTGAAAGTGTAATTGTTCAGGATTACTTTGCTGCAGCAATAACAGAATCAACCATTATTTTTAACACATATTACAGGAAACAATTTTTTTTTTTTTGTCAAGCTAAATATTCTAGTGGTAGGAATGGTATAAAAAAAACTGTAGATCTTTACGACAGATCTTTGCTCAGAACAGAATTTCTAAAGCATCTTCATAATCTTTATTTTGCTTTATTTTGCAGGTGATTTGAAGAAGTCTGGACATCTGGGATGTCTTAAATAATCGGCTAATATTTTTTATCAAAAGACTAAAATTGTGGCCATGCAATGAGCTGGATCTACAAAGCACCTCTGGCCGCTTTTCTCTCAGTAAATCTTCCAATTGGGTGTGAACTTGGAGAAAGCAACCTAGAGAGACTTGTGACATAATTACTGTGAGTTCAGATGTATTTAATATCTTTCGGTTATTCAAACACATTGAGTCTCAGTTGCATTTGCTTATAGTTTATAGTCTACACAAGGACCAAAAATTGACGTTTCAAAGAAAACCCATCACAATATTCTGCTCACATTTCTGTCAAGATGTATTGTCTTAAATATCTGTTTTGCTTTGGATGACTTCGACCTTTTGTTAAGTTTTATTTTAATTATTAGATCCAGTTTATAGATGTAATATTCCTACTTTTGGATTTTTGGCTTTCTTAGTTTTGTTTTTAGAAAGATTTTGATGTGAGCAGTTTTTATATATTACATATCATGCTATAGTGGAAGTTTTAGAGTAGATAGTCGGTGCCCAATGAATAGACTATAGGTGTCTAACTGATTTCAAAATAGAACATAGTGCAGTTAACAACATCTTTAATCCTGAAACAAATCTCTGATTAAATCAGTTTGAATGGACATTTGTATTTTAATTCAAATGTTTATTGCCATTTCTTTTTTTTTATTGCACTATAAATACAGCTATCTTATGTTGACCACATAAAATGGGTTATTTTAGAAATGTAAAGGATGTTTTATTACCCTTTAGCTATTGTAACATTTTCTTTTGCTTTGCTGTTATTATGAAAATAATATTTGCTTAAATGCCAATGCAGTTATATATAAAGTAAATATACCCTTAGTGCTCCATTGTATTTAGGAGGTAAAGCTACAGCTTATGTAATACCTTCCCTCAAGATTGAATGTCTCAGCAAGATCAGTAGACTCCATCTTTGGCAATATATGAAAAATACTGAACAAGTATGTGTTGCAGAGAATTTGTCTTTGCTCTTAAAGGAATTCAGCAGAAAGAGTTAGACCGATATGTTGTGTTTGACTGAACCGTGAGACTCTTTTGGTTTGATGAAAGCAACGTAGACATACTTGGCCATAATAAAAAGACACTTTATTTTAGAAAACCACTGTCAGGGATGGTTGTTGAAGGTATATCATTTTGGCTTTTTCTTCAACCATAGGATTTGACCACCTTTCAGTCATCAGGTTAATCATCAACTCGTCTGAATACCAAAATTCTTAGTCCAGGAGAATGAGCTTAAGCGAGGCTTGCATTTGGTGATCAATACCAATTTTAAAATAATAATTACCTCTTTTTTTTAGTGTTTAGTGTTTCTATGTTTTTAGTGTACCTACATTCCAATATTTCCTCCGCATTTATCCGAAGGAGCAGCTTTTTGCAGCAACCAGCCGGAGCATAGTGGGGATTTAGTCAGAACCCAGAGTGGCAGACTGTGTGTCCTCTCCAAGACAAAATGCCCTGCTCGCTAATCCAACAATAATAATAAAAAAAAAACAACAACAACAGAACTTCTTAAGGTGTCATAAATAACCTATCAGAGTCCAGCGCTGGACCTGATTGACTCCTCAAAAAAAGCTGGGCAGAAACTCAACATTATTGTTGCTAGAAGATATTCTACTGAATAACTGGGTTTACTGTTTATCCATTGATGGCATTCTGTGGAAAGACTCCCACAAACAGATGATGGCTTTGAGTTTAAGCAGATACTAATTCTAAAATCATTTACTGGTGTTAGAAAATTGTTGGCCAAAGTACTGCGCTACAGATGATGTTAATATGAAATATGTGTGCTTGAAAATAAATTGGAGGATATCTTCTGACAAAGATCATTAAGGGAATGTTTTTTTTTTCAACTTTAGAGTTACATCTGTCTCATCTAAGCGTTATTCGACCGGCTGTTGTATAAATGCTAAAGCTTGTAAACAGCACGACAGCAAAATAAAGTCTGACTTCTATTAATCCATATGCCCCAGGGTAGGATAAAGGAAAGTTTTCTTAGTTCATTATTTTTTTTCTTTCAGAAATATCAAACAGTCTGCTTTCTAAGCAGAAATGTCCACTCTAAGTTGATTAAGGTACAAATCTTTAAAAACTTCTCACCTCTTCATCATTGGACAAATTGAAATATTGATCCCTTGTCCATAGTATTAAACAACTGGATTACCTTCAGAAAGACACCACTTCAAAGATATGCATTTGAATGGCATTGCTCCAGGGTTTGAGGAATGGGTTTGGAGTTTTCACAATTTAAAGGTTATTAACCATCAGTATCTTGGGATGGGAAAAGGTTACTATACTTAGTATACTTATAGTTCTATAAACACAGGGGTATCTCTAAGCTGCATCAATGCAGAATATATATATATATATATATATATATATATATATATATATATATATATATATATATATATATATATATTTATATATTTGATAATATTTATATAATATCAAATGAGAGGGGAAAAGATAAGCTGGTTATTTTGTCTCTTCACCATTTTTTTTTTTACCTTTGTAGTTTTTTCCCTGTTTAGTACGTTGTTTATGAGAAAAAAAGTATAATCTTCCATAAGTCATTTAGAACTACCCATACCTGCTAGGATGAGGCTCATAATTCCTTTTGACAATCAACAGTTACATTTATTTTTCTATTCATAGCCTACCATATGGTTATGATGACACCAATTAAACATATGTACAAGTACGAGGTCACTTCAGGACAACACACACCACTGTCATCAGACCTGCATTAAAAACCATAAGCCCCTATTATTTTGCGTTACATAACAAACACCGGCACTGTCTGGTCTTTGGTTGATGCTCCAAGGCACAGAGATCCTTTCAGACCTGTAGGTAGGGCGTTATATAAAACTATTCAGTACTATTTCTGTGCCCCTTAGCAAATATGTCTGTTAAGGCAGGAATCACAGATTAAATTGATGACATCGACCAAAATGCTCCCGCTGTGTACTTCCCTTTAAGGTTTATTTGGTTTTGGTCAGGGATCAGAATCTCTTTTAAGAAATTAGTGACCCACTATTAAGATTAGATAAGATTATATTTGATTGTTTTGTCATTTCTCAATTAAAATAGGCTTTTTTATCAGCTGATAAACAATTTAGGATAATTTGTATTCTGCACCATTATGGCAAATCAACTAAAATGTTTGTCTCAGCATGCTTAATACTAGTGTTTTTTAAGAGGCTAGAGGGAATGTTGCCCCCTCTCTGGACATAGAGGGAGGGAATCTTGCCCCTCTAGCCCCCTTAAGTGGTGAAGGCGGCTTATAAGAGGGCATTTGCTGTTTTTAGATAGTGTCCATTTTTTAAACTATTGCCATCCAACCTCAAGTTGTTTCAATTTATTGGATTTAAAGCCGATGATCATTCAGGATGATCCAAAAGAATTATGTTATATCCTTGGAGGAAATCCTTTGTCAGCGACGGGTTGTGAAAGGCAGTCTTGCCCTGTTGTAAAATCCAGTTATTTCCACACAGCCAACAACCTACAGTCATAAGGTATGCCCCTGCAATATCTTCACATAGCCAATTGCCATCTAACATCTCTGCGTTACCTCAAGCACCATAGTTCCATTGAAGGAAAAAGCCCCCCAGATCATGATGGCGCCCCCTCTACTGTGCCGTTTACTCAGGTGGGACCACCTAGTCATGCTTTTAATGTTGAAAGCCATTAGGATTGTAAAGGTCAAATTTTATCTGATCAGAGAATAAAACTTTCAATGTCACGTATTTGGTGCTCTTGAGCTAACTCCAAACGGGCAAATTTATGCCACTGAGGGAGATGAGGCTTTTGAGGATGTTTTCTTTTTGAATAAACCTTCACTCACATATCCCTCCTGCAGATGGCATGAATAACAACCCCAATTCAGGCCAAGGAATTTGCCCTCTTGGGGTGGACAGCCAATTGGATCCACCAGCTCAGAGACTTTGAATTGTTTTTTGTTTAGGTCTACTACTTTCTTGTTTCATAATCCTCAGGATCTTTTGATATGTTTGAAATGACCATCTTACTTTGTCCAACTTCAGCAGCAATGGCAGACTTCGAGAGGCCTTGCTTAATCAGCTCAACAGTCCAACCACTTTGGAGAGGGAAATCTTTTTTGGTCTTTGGAAGCAGGCCAAAAAAGACATGACAGTGTGGATCCCTGATAGAAAATTGTACTTAATCCACATATTCTGAACGTTTATGCTTTTTAATGATTTGTTGTAATCTACTGTATAAATCAGCTGACAAACAGCCCATTTCATTGTAAGGTTGTTTTTTTTTAATAAATAGTTTGCTAAACTTTTTTTTCTCACCCCAATGTATGTACTTGTGAACATTTATATTTATCTATACTCACATGAACAAAATTGTTGATACCCCTCATTTAAAGAAAGGAAACGCCATAATTCTGTAAAAGATTAAAAAACAATCCACTGGACTTGGTTTCCAAGGTTTGATGACATTTTGCATCCCCCCCAGGAAGCTTTCTCAATTCAAATGTCTGGATCCGCAGTGAGTTTGAGTCTTTATATAGACAAGGTCTTGTATTTCTTGGAAAACGCCATAATAGTCAGAGACAAGGCCTTGTATTGCTTGGAAAATAGTCAGAGAAATATCTAGAATCTGACAAAAGTAATGATCAATAAAAATCCTATGAAAATAAAGTAATGAAAGTCAGACATTGCTTTTCAACCATGTTTCAATATAGTAAAAAAAAAAAAAAAAAAACTCATGAAACAAGCCTGGACAAAATAATTGTGTCCTTAACTTTATATTTTGCTGCAAAACCTATTGAGGCAATCACTACCATCAAACAATTGCTTTAACTGTCCATTAGACTCATTTACCTCTCAGCAGGCATGGTTGCCCACTCATCAAATAACTGTGTCAGTGGTTTCTGTTTGAAAGGGGCCTTTTTAAGATGCCATTTTTCTAAGCCTTTACCTCCTAAGGATTCTTTATAGGATTTAGGTCAGGGCTCAAAGAAGGCCACTTCTGGATTGTCCAATGACTTGCTCTTATCCATTTGTGGGAGTTTTGAGTCATTAGCCTGTTGAAGACCCATAACTTGCTACTGAGATCAAGCTTTCTAGCACTTGACAGCACGTTTCTCTTTAGAATCCCTTTATGGTCTTGAGATTCCATTACACCCTACAGAGATTCAATTCAATTCAAAATTACTTTATTAATCCCAAAGGGAAATTAAATATTGCAGCATCTCATAGGTTTTTGTTTTTCTCAAACAGGTGTTGTAGATGTTGATAGCTGTAGGTAGGATCTACTGTATCCCTATGTCTACTGTATCCTGCACACCTCCTCCGTAAGAGGAGCAGTGGTTAGTGTGCATGACCCATGTTAGGAAGCCTTTGTCCTCAATGTGGCCAACCCGGGTTCAAATCTGGCCTGTGGTCCTTTGCTACATGTCTCTCCGTCTCTCTCATACCCTCTTTCCTACAGCCTACTGCCAGAAAAATGTGCCACTAGTGCCATAAAAAAAACTTCTGAAGGGGATGCTCACTGTTGTCCATAATGTTCTTTACTTTATGAAGAATAATCCTCCAGAGGTCCTCAAGAGATCATATGGTGTCACCTTACTTAAGTTTGCTAGCCAGTGTCAGGGTTGACAACTTCTAATTTCATTTATGATCTAATTTGTTAGGTCAATGGTTCTCTGTTAAGTTGTTCTTTCATTATTGGTACTTGGTACCCAATATCAGGGGGGCTGATGTGGATCGAAGAGCTTAAACTGGATATGGGATTGATCCACCAATACGTTTGTTTTGCTTTGGATAGCGCTCTGGAGTAGAATGGCAAAGCTTAGAAAACAAATAGGGTTATGAGTTGGTGAGGGGTTTCATGTATGCATAACAGTTAAAGCTGTTTTTATTTATAGCCAAGTCTTGAACTACGTTTATGGATTCACCTGTTGTAAAAGTAGCACAGTCATCTATGCTCACTGGATAACAGAAAGCATTGAGTTCTGTTGACTCAATTAATAGCATATTGGAAGAGCTCTGTATACTTTGACTAGATCTAAGTGAGAAAGTTTAAACATTTTAATCACAAGTGTAGGGTAAGAGACACATGTAAAGGTAGCAGGAACCTGAAGGATTTGAGGTTCAGACCACTGGAGCCATTATCACCCACTGCATTTCCACAACATCATTAACCCCGCTATAAAGAAATGATCAGTTTAGAAATGTATCAGTGGAAAGAGCTTTTTAAAACATGATTTTGATGGAGGATTTGGCTAAACATTTCAGGTGTTTGCATCCGATAACTATCAAAAGTAATACTTCTTGTTAACCTTACCTGTAACAGATTACTCTAGCAGCACTTACTGTATGCTCAGCTTTCTCTGACTGAAAAGGGAGCAGCTCTACTGCAAAGTAATATTTTAGAGATTTTACCCATATATCCTCTTATGGTTGAAGAGAAACATCCTTAGTCCCTGTGGATTATGAAAAGCTTTTTTGAGATATTACATGATTAATGGATATAGTTGATTGGAACGTGTATATGATGTTATATCTGCTGTAAAATTTCTACAGCATTTCAGATACATCCTAAATAAAGTCATACATAGGAGATCTGGGGCCTTTCAAGGACGGGGATGAATTACTGAAATTAATGGAAAATTAATTCAGTTTTGCAGAGAAAAATCCTGAGGGAGATATCTTGACTGTTCACAGTCAGTCTAATTAAATTAGATTGAAGGCATGCTGTTAAATTCTTCAGAGACCAATTATTCACCCATCAATTTCAATCCATTGTGTTAAACATAAACAACATGCAAGACACTCAATGATAACTTTGAACTGAGAGCCTCTTATGATACAAGGTTCAGATAATGGCTAAACACTTTCATTTCTTACATATTTAAAGTAAATCCCATAATTCCGTAAAAATTCAAAAAATATCCACTGGACTTGGTTTTCAAAGTTTTGAAGACGTTTTGCCACCTCTCCAGGAAGCTTTCTCAATTCAAATGTCTGGATCCGCAGTGAGTTTGAGTCTTATATGGACAAGGCCTTGTATTGCTTGGAAACATGCAATGGTAACCGATGAATGGGTCGTTTAGTTCCATCGTTAGCCTGTAATATCTGAACCTGTCTATGATTCTAGGGGGGTCGGTCGTTAAAGGGGGATTGCCATTAAGGGGGGGATTGTCTCCTTTTTTTACGGAATGACTATGACCTGGATGACTGAGAACCTTCATCAGCATAAATCCCATAATTTTGAGATAAACTTATTTTTATCTGCTTTTATCAATCAGTACAAATTCTTAGAGTGCTGCTATTTACCCTTACATTAAAACAGCATTTATATAACAACAGCATTGTCTTAGATATGCAACAGGCAAAAGTTGTGTTGACAGCCCAATTGGATCACTTTTGTTCAATGGATGATGATGTAATTCTGTGGCAAAGGAACAAACGCACACACAAGTGAAGTTAATGCATCTTTATTTCGTGGCTCTATGTTTCATAAGAAATATCACAGTAGATTTTAATTCCATTTTAATCACAAAAGCATCCATCATGTAGTGTTTTCCTCTCACTTTTTAATTTATCACTCAAAATATACCTTTTCTATTCTTATTTACAGTTTTCATCTATCCTGTTTGTCATCAGATTTTCTTTTTATCACATTGAAATGTTAAGTGAGTTCAGTACATTAACACTATGTTGATTAGATACAGGAATAATTGTGGTGGTAATCTGGACAAAATGTAGCACTGGGAATAGCAGAGATATTTTTCAACCTTTCAGCTTAAATATCAAGATCACAGAGACTATTGTACTCAAAAAAAAAAAAAGCGCCTATTCAAAAATTTACATTTTTCCCAGATTAATTATTTTACAAATCATGGCTTTCAAAGTGTTTATCATATACAATTCATAAGGTTTTATAAACACAGTGAGCATCAAAGAAGTGGCTATTTCATCTTCATACCTTTAATGTTTTTAGCTGTGTAAAAATCTTCCACAATGTTCACATGGTGACTTCATAGCTGTGTTGAACCAGCTGGATATGCTGTGAGTTGCAGAAAGGTGATGTGGAAAGCGGTGATGTTCTGTAGGAGTATTCCTCCACAGCTTGGCATGGAGACCATGGCATAAAACACAACAGTCTGAGGACCCCTTGTGCTCCATCAGTTCATTTCTTTCTTAATGCCAATGTGTGTGGGGTTACAGTTGAAAAAGGATGTTCTGAAATGAAAACACAAAACAAAAACATGTTAGGATCTAATTGAGAAATGCTAGTTTGTCTGTTCTTAAATGCAAATGTTTTTTTTTTGGATTCAAATCTGATCAAAAGTCATTAGAAGGATCCCTTCTAAAGACCCCTCCACAGTTCTCACGGCCTAACATTTGTTGCAGCTGCTCCAGTTATGGCCAGATGTTTTAACCAGGCAGCACGGGATGGTCAGAGAATATTTATTTTAATGAATTCCCTGTGGTCTAGCTCATGTGGGTCCCATTGGTTTATATGAACACACCATTAAACAAGCTGGCAAATATGAACAGAGTTTTTGCCAGATGTCGTCCCATACCTCTCTTATCACTCTTAAAACAGACCACAGTCTTTAAGGTTCTCTTTGATGATGATATCCGTCACGGCGTTGAACACGATCTCAACGTTCTTCGTATCTGTGGCACAGGTCAAGTGGGAGTAGATTTCTTTCTGACCCTTCTTCATGTTGAGATCCAAGAATTGTGTCTTGATGTAGTTGCTGGCATCATCATACGTGTTGGGGCCTGAAAAATGTTTTAATGACATTGATATCGGTTAATAGAGACATCAGAGAGACATGCCCTGTCTTTAGTTACACTCTTGGTCAGGTATGCGCTTGCTTCGGGATTTAAGGAATAAAAGGGATTTATCAAGTTACCATTTTTGCATTATTCCATTTGTTCATGAAGAATGTTTACTGATTTTATCATCAATTTTTTTTTTTTTTTAGGATATACTCCACAGGAAAACTAAAAGTCCCCATGGTAACATGTTAATATCTCTGACTTAAATGCGGGCAACCTGGGTTTGAACCCTGGTTGCGTCAGGAAGGGCATCAGGGGTAAAAACTTTGCCAAATCTGTGAGGGAGTCATACTGACTCACTGTGGCATCCCCTAAGTAAGGGAGCAACTGAACAGACAGTCTAAATATAAAGGGGGAAAAAAAAAAAAAAAAAAAAACAATGGACATGTTGTAGGAAGATGAACAACGTATTATAAGTAAAAGATAATTTAATTAATTTTCATAAATGTCTTTTCAGTGCTGCTGTTAAAGAGATTCAACAGCAGATTTTACTTTTATTATATTTCATATATTAAATATTTTGAATATAAGAGGTAAAACTTCATTTTTACTAACCTATTGTACATTCAGGCAATCCTAGCATAGAGCGTCTATATCTGCTTATATAACAGCATCACTGTATCTCAAGGTTATAGAGCAATACATTATAATCTCACTCATTATTATATTCTTATATCACAAACAGCCAGTTCATAAGTCAGCACATATCACTATGCTCTTCCCAAGAGTGTAAGGGGAAGGTGTATTTTTAACTGTGTAGATAAAGGCCCCCATAAATGTAAATGTTTAAAATTAAATAGATAAACGTACAAACGCTCTTCTTCCTCTTTTTAATATCATGTAGACTTACCGTCATAATCAGGGAAGCAGATACTCAGGTGGACTTTCTTGATCTTTTCTTCAAAGAGATCCTTCTTGTTGAGGAAAAGCACAATGGAAGTCAAAGCGAAGAATCTATGGTTGCAGATGCTGTTGAATAGATGGAGGGACTCGTGCATGCGGTTCTGGAAAGATCAGAGACAAAGGCATAGTAAACTAATGTTAAAATGCATTCTTTTTATAAAAAAAAACAAACAAAAAAACACAATGGCTGCCTTGACTCACCACTTCATCATCTTCTACCAGCACCATGTCGTAAGCGCTGAGAGCTCCACAGAAGATAATGCAAGTCACGCCCTCAAAACAGTGGATCCACTTCTTTCTCTCTGACCTCTGGCCTCCCACATCAAACATCCTTTACCATACAGAAAGTTGAGACAATTTCTTTAGATTTCTGGACCCTGCCAAACTAGAATTTTATTTAAACTTTTATTTTCTTATTTCCAAAATAGCATGTAGGTCCCACATGGATTTTGCACAGGCTGGATGAGTACAAACCAGGCCAAGGCTCAGACAGAGCTCCCTGGATGTGATATATCTGTAGACTGGCACACATTTTGGGACTAATATAGGTTTTTGACGCATCTAAAACAGGCATAATTTGCTTAAATTCAGCTATAAAACCATCAATATGAGTTTAATTTTTACCAACGGCTGTCCTGTATTAAATCAGCCATAGGAGTATCCTATCTTTGTCAGACCAATCGATTTTTACCCCATTCGGGCCCAATATGTAAATGTTGGCTTGGTTTAGCTCACCTGAAATGCAACTCTTTGCAGGAGAACTGTTCTTCAATGATACCAGTTGTTTTGACTCGAGATCGCAGCACATCCTGCTCAGTGGGCATGTAGTCTGGCTGACAGATTCTGTCCATTTCGCTGAGGTAGCTGAAAATGTCAGCACAAACACAAAGTCCCTTTTTATCTACACTCAGTTATCGATGAGCCTTTTTGATTGTTTTTAGGTGAGGAGAGGTGCTCACTAGCCAGCAGAGTCATTCAGCTGGTACTCAGCAGCTCTTTCAAATGCAGCCTGCACTCCAGAGTCTTTCCACAGCTTCTTGATGACATCAGCCAGCTCAGGGGGCATCGTTCCTTCTTCAATGGAGTCTGACAAGTTCTGCAGCTTTTGTGCATCCTCCTGTAATTTTAAAGACAATAAACAAAGAAAAAAAAAATATTTTTCACATCTGCTTTGAGAGCATAAGAAAATGTCTGCTGTTCATCTTTTAAATATGTCAGTATACCTGTCCAGAGGGTGCGCCAAAATCAATGGCAAGCATCTCCATGCCTCTGATGATAGCCAGAGCAGACTGCAGGATGTTGCCATAGATGATCGCCCTAAATTCCATTTGCTCCTCTTTTGTGTAACCACCTTGGTGAAGAATCCTGTGTGAGCACAAAAGGCAACTTTGCATCACTAATCCTTACTGAGTTGAGGAAGTAATATATGCTTAAGATCACATTTCTAAATTAAATATGTTTAATTTATTATGATTTACAAAAATGAAGCTTGAAGTAAATTCCAGATTTTCCTACACTGCACATATCTGATTAGTTCAATGCCTACAGTGCCACCATCTGGATTCTCCCGTGTTTGCTCTCATAAAATTATACGAAAAAAAATGATGCCAATGATGTATTTTAAAACTTACTTCATTTGTTTTACAATGGTGCTTTTTCCTGACTCGCCAGCACCTGGAAAAGAGGGCAAAGGTCAGTGTACATATGTCTGGACTTCTCAGTAAAGAATTTTATTTTAAACAATCAAACATAGGCATCATCCAAAAAACATATCTACAGTAGGGCACTTAGGATGGCATTCTAGTTTAAAGTGAGTTTACAGAAGGCAATGGAATAAATAAATTAAAACATGGAATATAAAATGAATACAATTTGAAAATAGGACACATTTGACACCCTGCCCATTATTACATGCACACCAATTATTGCCTTTAATGCACAGTTTAAAGTGGTTTGTAAAGATTGGATGGCTTTAAAGTTTTCTAAAGAGACCTGGTCCTGGAGATAAATTAGAGAGAAAATAAAACATCACCTTAAATCACACCAGAAAATCGAATTAATTTGTTAAGGTTCTGGGTTTATATGCAAGGTAATTTGCATGTCTGACAGTATATTTGCAAAACAACACTGAACGGAGGGCAATCTCTAAATGCACATTATGCATTTAGACAATGTGCATGCAAGCCTAATGTGGGTTAATCACATTATTTCAGTGGTAGGATTGGATGTGCTGGATGAAGAAAAGCGTCCAAGCAGATCAGCCTCTGCAGTTCCATGAAACACAGTGCTGAGCTGAAGGAGTTTATGCCGTCACAGAGCGCTCAGAGCTGACCACCTCACTCTCACTGAAGCCACATTAAGCTGATCCAGACCTACTGCTGAGCTTTTAAAGGTTTTTTTCTAATCTTTTTAAAATTCAATTCAAAGAAAAAAGCACTGCACGAAAGGTTAAGTGCAATCATTCCTCTTTGGTTTTCTGTTTGACATGAAAGAATATTTGCCTTTAACATTACTGATTCTGACCTGAGGCTTCTACTATAAAATTATCATTTTGTCAAAGTTTAGCTGTAATATAACTAATATAAACAACTTATAAAAATTGGGTATTTTCAAGATAATTCTTTTCAATTAAGCTGATTGGATTTAAAACTAATATTTGTAAAATAAATAAATAAAAATAAAAAAGCAGTTTTTTTGAGATTCAAAGTAATTATTTTCTCTCAAACTTCTTATTTTTAAACTTCTCATAGCATTTCATCAGCCTTGAAGCAGTTAATAATTATTTTTAAAGTGAGTTTCATATGATTTCCTTCTAATTTCTTTACAGATAGTTTGCTAATATTCTTAAAAGCTTCACTGAAGCTTTTACTATCGTTAAAAAAAACTTGCTAGTGTTTATTTTACAGGTTGACACATTAATGGATCTGGTCCTTAGTATTTAAATATTAGGCAAAATTTGGACTATCTGTAGTTTTATGCTTGCGCCACTAGGGGGCCCTTATTTTAAATAATTTTCCTGTGTTGTTACTGTCTTTGTCAGCAACAACAAATAGTAAGTTTTTTTCACTGCAAATCATGTTAAAGGACCAAAATACAGTTTCTTTAGGATGGTTTTGTGTAATTTTGTAAAAAAAAAAATCTCAGCTATAGGATGAAATAAAAAGAATAATAATAATAAAAAAGATTTAAAACAGTCAGGTAGAAATGCTATTGAAACATAAAATAAATTACCATATGCAATTTAGGAGTCAACAAAGGTCTCAGCATGTGGATCTGCACTAAACCTGTTAGCTAATCGGATTGTTATATCACTGCAGGACTGTGATTCATTTAGACTAAAGTCAGTGATCTTTTAAGAAGCTGCGTCCTTTAGGTAGAACTAGAAAGTCAGCAGCCACTGACCAGCTGAGAGCTGAGGATATTTTCTTTCAAATAAACTTACCAAACTTTTGAGGACTCTACTTGGAAAAAACTAAAGAAAAAAGCAGCATACCAGTTTTATTGAGCATCATTGATTGATATCAAACCTATAAAAAAGAGTTTACTTTCAACTTTTATCTCTCTATGTCTTAAGTTAACACTTTCCCTGAGAGTCATTCAAGGCTGTGGATTAACTTCTCCACTTCCAAACTGATTTCTGCATATGACAGAGGTGTAATCCTTAACTGTTTAGGCTTTATTTCCACACACCTACCAGGTCACAAAATTATATGGGAACCACTTTAGGCCAAAATCAAACAGTTTAAAGCAGAAATACAAAAAAAATGAAGTAGATTCAGGATGAAATCTTTATCTTTCTACCTTTTCTGGTCAGATTTTTTTTTGTTATGGTTAGATTTACCTTTAGTCTTCATGTGAATATGATATGAATATTGACCCTGATAGGGTCAATAAAAGTTATTTATTTTCCTTGTAGAAGTTATCAAACTATCAAACAAGGAGATTGCTTTCATGTTTCTTCTCTGAAGTTAATGCTGACTCAGATTACTAAAGCATGATCAGTATTTCCAATCTTCTGAATCCAAAACCTATCAGGTAAAGCATTAAGTATCACCTTTACCTGGAGACAAAATTTACAACTTTGTTGAACAAGGACCAATCATAAGACAACTCACCAAGCAGGAGCAATTTGACCGTTTTAGACTCCTTATCTGCATCTTCCTGGAGCTGCTTTTCCAATTCCTTGGACTTTTTGTCCTCAGCGCTAGCTCCTGCACCCATGATTTCTTCCTCCGCACTCTCAAGGTCCTCGAGGAAGGAAATTTTGGCGGGTCTATGTGAGCACTTGTAGAGAATCCAATCACAGCACTAGTTGTGCTGAAAGGTGATTTTGGAGCGGAAGAGGATTGAAAAGGTGGGGGCTGAGCCTTCCTGTAATATGTCTTCCTAAGACAGAGTGTTGTGGAGGCTCAAATGAAGTCACCAGCTTTCATCAGCAGAGATTCACTTCTTAATTCCCTGTTCTTAAACCTGGACTTAGGAGTGGCCTCTTCCTGATTGGCCATTCAATCCATTTAGTCTATTGAGGATGGCTGGTAATCATGTCAAAGAAGGAGAAAATTATCTTGCAAATATTTCGGTTCAGTTAAAGCCATTCAAGCCATATTTGCTCGACTTCAGTGATGTCATTGAGACTTAGTGATGCACATGTATTGCATGATAAAAACAGTATATGATTATGTTTTCTGTATAAATCTGAAGAAAATGCATGCAGGGAAATGTGTTCTTTTTGTCTTAGTTGACTAATCGATTGATTTAATATTACAAACATTCACAATTTATTTGTTTTTAGCATAAATGTGTTACTCTTCTAAACCCAACATCATTTCATGCTTGATGTACTCTTGACTTCTCTCTCCGTCACATGGACAAAGCAGGAGGCAGGCATTAAGGTCTTATAAACGTCTTACAGCTAAGAGGTTTATATCCCAGGTGGTGAGGTAGCTGCTAAATACAGCGGCCGTAGCAGCACTCTGTCGTTCAGAGGGGTCTTCATGATGACATGACCTGAATGCATGGAGCACATTACATAATTGGCACCAATTGTTGCGGGATTTCACATGTTTTGATGTATGCATAAGTGTAAAGTATATTTGTGTAATCGTTTTCAGGAAGAGATGTTGGGGTCAGACCTGGTCAGATTGTGCTGCAAAACTGGAGCAGCTGATCTGTGAGCTCCTTCTATGGTAGAGATCAGTGGGTGTTGTCTTCAGGGCTGTTGGGTTATGGCTTATCAGAAGCCTTATTGTCAAAAACGGTACCAGTAATTCCATCAAAGATGGAGTATGATTCAAAATTAACTAGTAAATTAACTCTGCAGCTCTGTGTGCAAACAAGTTTCACAATGTTGAGATGTAAACACAAGCCAGGCAGTAACTACTGGCAAAACTGAGAAAGATGAATGTTTTATTGTAGCAACAAAATTTCACTTTGAGATTTGTCAGAAACAGAGAAAAAAAACATGTGATTTGATTGGATTTATTCAGTGTGGAAAAACTCCACTTTAAGAAATAAAATTTTCTCTAAAATCCAAATAAATAACAATTTTGAGACCAAGGCTGGACAGGGACCCAGGTTTATCCTGCAACTGGGCACATTGATTAGGAAGTTCAGGGAAGGAAATGTATTTTTAAAGCGGGAGAAGAAACATTTTCACTGAAACTGTGTTTTGCTTATATAAGACAAAACATTAACCTCTCAGCAATAAACATGCACCTCACGTCCACTATGAAGTAACAGCTGAGGCCCTCAGAGCATTGGTGAAAGTCATTTACAAGAACTACTCACTGGATCAATTGGCAGTAAAATATATTGATCCTCAACACATGGTTCTCTAGATGGATCATATCCTTTTGTACTAGATATTAATTTCATGCGCTCCATTGTGGTATAATAAAAACCTGTGAGCTGAAGAGACAAACAATTCATGAGGAGCCTGGACACTGGACAAGCTGGGAAGATTATGCAATAATCAATTGGCAAAGAAATTTCCATTTCTGTATGCTTCACCCTTGTAAAGTTCTACAGGAGAGGACTGTCCTAATGAAAAAGACAACGCTTCTGACTGCAGGACCTCAACATCTTGGGTAAACACGGTGTACAAAGTACATTCATGGGGATTTAGTTTCCCCACCAAATACATTTAAATTATTTAAAGGTTGGAATTTCTACATTCATGTGTCAGATTATACCACTTTAGTAAAATATGACTCTTTGCCTGAAGTGCCATGCACTTTATCAGCTAACATACCCAAATCAACAATACCCTAACAACTTCCCCATAGTATACACAGGATACACAGTAAACCAGACCTAAATATGGAGGCTTAGCAGAGGTTCTGAAAGAGGGATGTTTCTTTCTTTTAGTTTACAACAAGTAAATCCGACATAGATACATTTCCAAAAGTGCTTACACTATTGCTTAATCAGATCGCAGTATGATCTTAATAACTTTAGGCAGCATTCCTTAGCAAGCTGTTAGAAACTTTGGTACTAACCCTCCCACCCGGCAGGGCAGACAAAGAAAAGAGGGTTCGTTCTCCATCTCTTCATAAATCAAGGTGTGTCTGACAAAAACACTTGGAAGATCACTGTAAACCAAAATACTTATTTTTCTGCTGGCCCTAAGCATTCCTACAAAGTGTATTTCAAGTAATCTTTGAATAACTTAACCAAAACCATTCAAGTGTTCAGTTGTGCTCTATTACTAAATCATCTTCATACTGTACATCTGGTTCACATGTTTTTTTTTTGTTTTTTTTTAACAAAATAGACAATCACCGGCTATTAATACTGTTAAACTGCAAATGAGATAGAATAGGGCTGGTTGTCTTTGAAATACAAGTTTCTAACAATGCTGCTTACTCAATGTCTTTATAAGGACCAGTTGCAAGAAATTTGTATAATAGAAGAAATAATGATGCTGAACTAGAGAAAAAAGTATAAATCAAATAATAAATTAAAAGTAAATATAAATATACTGTATGTAAAGCACTGAGTAGCAGATCTTAATCTATAATTGATTTTTCTATTTTTATATGATGTAATCATAGTTTTTATCTATATTATTCTTATTACTTTCCACACCACTGAAATATTTAGGTTTAAAGTATTCGTATTCACCAACATGTTTCTCAAAGGGATATTAATGTTTTAGAGCAGCCTTTTCAGAATCCACAGTTTAGTCCAGACATGCCCAAATTCATCAGTTAGAGGTTTCCCTGTCTTAGAACAGCTGATTCTGTTGATTGTTGTTCAGGAAAAGCCTGTTAATCAGCTGTCAATGAAAATCAGGTGATCTGAAGCAGGGAAACCTCTAAAACCTGCAGGACAGCGTCCCTTAAGGACCGACTTTGGTCATGCCTGGTTTAGTCTGATACAGGATCTATTGATGGAGATAATTGGATTTCTGAAAAGTGTTTTGTAAACGTCATTAACTGAACAGTCCTCTTTGTGTATTTTTTTTAGGTGGAGTCGGTTGAAAAAAAAACTTTGGTACATTTTTCATCTTGGCAGGCAGCCTAAAATCTGGTAAAGTAACGTAAAGTTCAAGCAGTTCTAGTTCAGCTGAACGAGAACATGTTTGGCATATTTATAATGATGACAAGCAAATACAAAAACAATCATTCAACAAAAACAATGAATTCCTCAACTATGCAAAAAGTTAACAGCAGCCTCCATGACTTTACTGTGACTTCCATCTTGCCAGTCTACAATTAGCCAGTTGTGTCTTGAAATACTAAGCACTGCACACACTTCGATCTGCTGCTAATGTGCTCCTGGTGCTTGCATCCTAATTCCCTGAACGCTTTCAAGCAGGCTAATCGCTGTAACATATCAAGTAGTGGCAGCCAATCCCATTTGGCTGAGGTCGGTGTACACCCTGCTCAGTGCACAGCCACCGCGGCTCTGATCTGTTGATGAGATTACTCCCAGAGCCTTACATCAATCTGAGTGACATGGACAAACCATGTTACATATGATGTAAGAAGGGAAAGGGAAAAAAAATACATTAATATGGATTAACAGGTCAGTGTGAATGCCCACTAATGGCTTTTCTCGTAAATGATTGCCAAGGGTACTTTTTGAAGCTCAGTTTACAAGCTTTTGTTTACAAAAAAGCTCTGATTATTCTGCTAATAAAGAAATCACAACAGGATTAAACAGAACAGCGTACAGAAATAAAATCCACCCGTTTAGCAGATGATCAAAAACCTATGTGATCCTGAAAGCCTTAGTGAAATCCATATTTTCCCTCTAAAGATGTGCACTAAGGTGTTATTTTGTATTTGCTATAAATATTTGCTATTAATCCTCTATAGGCTCCATTACAGAAGGCTGCCAGACACTGATGGGCTCAGATGGTTTTAGTCTCTGAGCTTTTCAATTGAGGACAAAACAACTGAGTCCCTCTAATGAAACATGAAGGTGGGACCTTTGCCACACTTTACTATTAAACTCTATGTCGGTGACAACAATTAAATACTTTGGTAAAAATGTTAATTCCTTACACTAGATTATTATTTATATAGTTTAATGTTAACTGATTGCATGCATTTTCCTTTTTCTGCTCATTTCAATTGAATGCAGATAATAATGATACTTTATATTCCCTTTGTACAAGAAATGAAAAGTTTATTTTGGTTTATTCACGTGTTGTTATATTGGTGTCTGTGATTGATCTTATACTATTAGACACCTTATTTTCTTTTAAATTCGGACGCAACTGTAAGTAAATGCATTTTTGTGTACTATATGGACAGGGCGCATGAAAAATCTACCAAACCCTCTTTGCCACTTGGCAAACTGTTGGTTTTGCTGCTGACTCTTGTTTGTTGGAATTTATTGGATTAGCTGAGTAAAGAAACAGTCATGGTGGCAGTTTAATTTGTTTTATTTAACCAACAGTGCTGTGTGCCTGACAGAACTGTTGAAAACATAAACAACACGCTGGGACCTTCTCATCAGCTTTGATAAGCTGCTGGTCACTTCTAATAAGTGAATGAATGAATAACTCTGTATCTTATAGTCCAATGCGATTACAAATTTAACACATACAAACATATCTGTAATGATTTTTTAACACATAATATAAAATTTACTGCATCAGTCAGGAAAGGGGTTTGAAGAGGTGAAAGCTATTTTATCATTCCCCTTCTCTCTCCAACAGTTGCTATTATCCCAGTAAGTCCCTAGTACTCCAAAAAAACTTTACCTCAGCAATGAACTCAAAGACATAAAACACAAATCCAAACTGATCCCTTGTGCTGTTTTAGCCAGAGTAGCTTCATTTGGTCCTGTGCCTTATTTAGCTGTGACAACGTCCTCTAGGAATGCATTAACTGGGTTGCTGAAAACTTCTATTATAAAT